CTCAAAGTCCTCAGATTTGAAATATATTACGATTTTCCCCTCTACCTGAAATGGATTTTTTGCATAAATGGAGATTTTATATGGTTCTTTGAGGTGGAAGGACATATTTAAAAAATATTGTTTTCAAAATAAGTCCATGTTGAAAAATAGCTCCTAAAAAGGCCCCTGCAAAATGAACACATTTTGGTGGTCCTAAATGCATTCATTCCATTTTATGGCATCTTCCCCATATAAAGGCGCAAAATCTTTTCCGCATGTTGAAGGTTCCAGCTGAATTTTCCTTGCGGACTATCTACATACAAGTGGGATAAGAGTTCTATTCGTAGTGGTGGGGCTCCATCTAGTGATTACTTCCACAATTCACAATTTTGAAACATAGATGTTGATTCACAATAACATGTTACAGACTGCTAGGAGGTGAAAGTCTTCGATGAAAAATAAATAGATGCCAGTGGAGAGCTATCAAAGGCTACAACCAAAAAGTTATCTCTTGGTGGCACTATAATAAATAGTAGTACACAGGTTTGCCGGTAGAGGGTCTAATTTAATCACATTTAGAAAACATGGAACCCCCGATTCTCGATTTAAAATTTTCAAGAATTTCAATGGGCTGGTAAATAAACACAAATGCTTGATAAGTTTTGTAACTGTGTACATATATATTTGAAGTTTTAAAAAGAATTAAAATAAGTTACCAAAGTGTGTTGTTGTCACTTTCTGGCTCTCGTATGACGAAGGATAATTGACTTCGCACCAAAATTAACAAAATGACGGTCCTATGATTTTTTGGAAAATCCACTTTTTTACCACAAACTAAGTAAAAACATAAAGAAAATCTTCACTGATTGGATTTATCCTAGTTCACAATATAATAAAGGGTTCGTGACTTAGCTATGTTGGTTACTACGAGGATCAGAGGTGAATTATTTTACACAGATTGTATTACCTGTTGTGGTACTATATTATTATATTAATTCTGAACCAGAAAATACCAAAGTCTGGTGGTGTATGACCGGAGGAGTACCATATAGATTTATTTTATAACACTAGCAAGTATCCGCAATTTAGTTTATGATTTTTTTTGAAAATAGTGATATTTTCCAATTTTACATAATACTGTCTGATAGAATTATTGTCTCAACCTTTTCTAAACCAACTCAACTTAATCCATAATATAGACCCCTATGCATAATATTAGGTGAGGTTCGACATTATAAAATCCTCCTTTTCGTTCAACCAACCAAAATGGTATCATGTATAAATCTACTCTTTAAGGACTGATTTACTAAACAGCACTTTTAGTCGGAATATTAAAACCAACCTTATAAAACACACAGATTTTTGCTCTATCTAAACCTCACACTATAGCGGTTCACATACCAAATTTCAATAAGGTAAACATACACGTACCAAATAAGTAATAAGTGTTCTATGAATAGTACATGTTAGAATATTTTTTATATTTATATATATTATATATTATATCATTTTAAAATCTAAATAGGGTGGCGTAGGAGATGACTGATACCTAGCAACAGCTCTGATTGGCTCTAGCATGGCAAAACGCAGGTTTCTTGGCCCCTCTTTCATCTCAATTGTGTACACTCCCCGCGATGTGAACTGGGGTAGCTACTTTCAACACCCGTGAAAATAGTGAGCTGATATGTGCCGTGAGTTCACTCTTAAGAACTATCAAAAATGGTTTGAGGCCGACCCTTGCCGACCCTCGGAAAACTCCACCTACTATGAAAAAGCAACGGAAAAGAAAATCAAACCCACAAATGTTGAAGACCCCCGAAAACTTATAAAAAACCACGATCTGGAATGTACACTTGGAATGTGCGCATGTTGAACAAAAAGACACAGTTTTCGCTTTGGCGAGTGTAGTCAAGAAGTACAAAGCCGATATATGATATGATTACGCACTATATTATAGTTGTCATGAAACGAGACATGTGGCTGCGGATTTATGGTTAACAGGCGAATAAAAGACCTCGTCTCCAGATTCACTCCAGTGGATGAGCGAATTGCTATAATCCGCATAAAAGCGAAGATCTCCTATGTCAGTCTTATTTGCGCCCATGCTCTGACGGAAGACAAAGATGAGCAGACCAAAGACATATTCTGACCATGAAATTAAAATTCTGCTAGGAGATCTAATGAAAAAATCGGAAAGGATAATAGGAAAGAGGAGGAACGTATTATAAATAAAAGAAAAATAACAAGAAAAACTTGGGCGTGAGCAAATCGAGATGTACGGGAGTCAGAAATAAGTCTGGAAATCCGACCAACGAGTAATATACTAAGCCGGAGGCTTTGGTGAAGAAGGAAACCTGGTGATTTATTCGACATCCCAATCCGCTTAGAGGTATTTAAAGCCATGTCTGCGTTCGGCATTCGTGCAAAATTTATACGGCTATACAGAATAACTTTCACTGGCTTCAATACCCAACATCCAGCTGGCAAATATCTTACGAGATTCAAAGGTGAACAGAAATGGCACAATACAAAAAAACAGCACATGTTATCTAAGTCGTCGAAAGTTACGAGGGGTAACAGCCACCTTCGAACAAAATGTGAAGGAGTCTACCAACGTGCTAGTGGCAGTAAATGGCAAGAAGACCAAGCTGATGGTATCAACGCGCAAGACGTCCAATAGATTCGGGCCAACAGTTGTACTTGAAAACTACAACTTTGAGGTAGTCAAATATTTCATCTACCTCGGTACCGCCATAAAGAAAACAAATGACATCAGTTTTGAAATACGGAGAATGATAGTGTTGGCCAGCTGATGCTACTATGGTCTAAATAACCAATTCAAAAACAAGGCCACCTCTCGTCAAATCAAAATCACACTCTACAAGGCGCTGATACTACTCGTACTGTTGTACGGATCTGAAGCATGGGTACTTGGGCAAGCGGCTGAAGCATCTCTTCGCCGAAAGATCTATGGGCCGATCTGTGTAGACGGTGAATATCGCCGCCGAATGAACCATTAGTTGTACCATATGTTCTTCGTCATCGATATCGTCAGACGTATCGAGCTGTAGTGACTACGGTGGCTATGGATGATGATGCCCAGCTCCAAAGGCATATAAAATCGAGCCCCTTCGAGTTTCACTTAGAAGGGACGACCACAAATTCGATGGAAAGATCACGTGGAGGAAAACATTTCGAAACATGGTCTTTCAAATTGGAAAAGCTGGGCACAAGACGACGCGGCTTATGGAAAAATGTTCTGTCTAGAGGCAGCCAAGTTATATAACTAAATATTTCAACCCTATGCAATAATAGCTACTCTCCTATCAAAGTTCATGATTCAAATTCCATTTGGACATCAACTAAATTAAATTTACTATGTATAGAACTATTTAAAACTTCCCCCTTGTTAATAGTACGAAGTTAAAAACCCGTCATATAATCTAATCCAAATACATAATTTCGTTATTATATATCCATGCTTCAATCCACTGCATATTGTACTAAACTGTGTTAGATTTAAAACGTTTGGAACATTTTAGTACCCTATCACCTTCTATTACAAACATACACTGCAATAATGACTCAAGTTTCAGTTTTTTCTAGTCACCCACTATCAAAGGTGCTAAATTTAGTAGTATATAGTACTTTACGCACAGTACTTCGAAACCATTTTCCAGGCATATAAAAACATGCTATATTAATTTAATATACATATAGTACATATATTTTTAATTAACTATTTATTTATTATATTTTTTGTGCTACAAGAATATAACATAATAAATTATATACTTATTTAATTGAATAATACACATAAATATGTATACTCGTATGTCTATTATATTATAAGTAAAATTATATGTGAATGGATAAGACTGAGAAAAGAAGCATTACACGTTGGAAATAATTGTAATATGTATGTTGTAATGTCATGGTAATTTGATTATAATACAGTAATTCAATACGATTCATCATTAGGAACATAATTCTATTCAGACATCAGACATGTAATAATACAGACATACATACATACATGGATATTAATATTGGCATATGTTTATTAACGACAAAAACCAATTAAGGACTATTAGGGAGGGAGTCAAAGGTTAAGCTTAAGAAACAAAAATATTTTATTAATATTTACATTGTAATGTATGGAAAAATAGGAATCGTGAAATTAGAGTTACAATAGTATAGACATATATGAGTCATTCCAAAAAGTAATCATTGATTCATATGAGGTTTTATTACCAAACATCGGCTAAAAGTGTATAACTACAATAAAAAATATTTTGAGGTTTCTCAAAATTTAGAGTTACAATCTTGTGGCATTTAGTTTAAAGATGCACAAGGACTCCATTCGATTTGATTGAGACAGGTAATCTAAAAAATAACCTACAACAGAAGCAAGCAAAGAAATTTCTTCATGAACTTTAGAGTTACTATGGCGAATTTGTCCTTCTGAGATTTTAATATACTCGCCAAAGGCTTTCATTCCCATAAGGAATTTTTCACACCCCCAAAATCCTGTTACACAGTTTTATCTTTATGAGATCTTCTGTTTAATAAACAATTTTCTATCTATTGACGAATTTTTTTCCTATCTAAATGGAGTTTGAAAATAATCTTTATTACGAGACTTTTGGAAACTATTTTACCTATAGCAAGTCTACTTCAAAGTCTCTTCATGAATATTTGTTTGTTTTTAAATTCTATCAAAACTTCATATCTTCAATTGCACAACGCGATTCTACGCGGAATGACCCATATGTTTGTAAACATTTTTTTATAATTCTCAAATTACATTTAAAAGGTAATAACATTCATAATTTCCATATGCATGTAAGGGCATGTCTAGCCACATTCAATTACAAAAACAAATCGAATTTCATATTAAATACTTCATTTTGGCAAAATTAGAAATCTGCAGATTTTTCTTCTACACGCCAGGATTCCTTTGCTTCTCCTGGTGACGATAATGTAATAGGGTACACAATTTCAATAATTTGATATCCTTTTTAGCCTCGACTGTTGTTGATTTGGCTGATGCTGCGTGTTGGTGGTTGATGTGGTGGTGATGATGATGATTGTGGTTGTCCTGCATCGGTATGGCTGGTGTCTTCATTGGAATCGTTAATTGTTGTGGGTTGGGAGTCTCCAGTTTCATTGCACGTGTTCCTGACTGGGATAATGTGTGGTTGGAGGTGTGGGTGAAGGAGTACTGGCATTGTACTGGGCTGCTGCTGTTGCACACTGACGATAGATCCTGTGAGCGTCGATGTTGTTGCTGCTGTTCCTGCTGATGTACCAAGGTTGCCATGTGTAAACGCTGCTGCTGAATGCCTGACTTCCGAATGCTGGTGAGAGTGGGGAGGCGGCTGGTGGTGATGTCGGCTGACTGGTCGGGTCTTTAAAATACTTAAATCATTAACATTTTCTAAAAAACTTTTATGAGCTGACAATTGTTTCACACTTTCAACATCCTTTTTGAGCTCCTCCATGTCCCGCTTTAGTTTGGCACGTCTATTTTGGAACCATGTAATAACCTGCAATGGCCGCAATCACATCACATCCATAGCATAAAATAGAAATACAAAATGAGATCGGGTTTTCATACATTAGCGATTTGTTTGCATTTGAAGGAATTTGATAATCAACTTTTTGGACTAACCTGAGCATTTGAGAGACCCAAACCGGCAGCAATTTCATCACGATCGGCTGGCGATAAATACTTCTGATAGAGAAAACGTTTTTCCAATTCAAAGATCTGATGATTTGTGAAGGCCGTGCGACTTTTGCGTTTCTTTTTGGGATTTGGCCGGGTGGCAAAAATGCTTAAGGTGGCAGGATCTGTAATACAAAAAAGGCGAACATTATGTATTAATGGGGTATTGAATGGGATATATTGAATATAATAACAAAATAAAATATAGACCGAATCAACAACCATCACTACTATAGCCAGTGGAATAAATCTTTGAAAATTTCGAAATATCTGTATTTCGTAATCGCTTATTTGGTAACAAAAGTGGATCACAATATTTTACAAAATACTTGTTTAGGGAAATAATTGAATTGTAAAAATAGTTGTAGCAGCATGTCATAAATGTGTTGTAATTAATTAATGTTGAGGTGTGATTTTTAGCGTGAATTTGTTATTTCCATTTATTTACTCGTTTGATCATTTCGATCAGCCCACAACGGATCATGGCAATTAAATCATGCCAAAGAGGCTGGCAAAGTGTTCATGTTTTTTGTTTTTACTGTTAACTCTTATTTTGTTTATCGACTTTTTGCGTTTAGATTAATTAAATATTCATAATTTTTGTTATTGATGGATAGATCTAAGTGAGTGACTGACGTAAACAAATGTTTTTTATGGGATTAGAAACTCGTTAGGTTATTTTGAAACGATTTCACAAGAAACTAAATCAATTTGATATCATCATCATGTGATTTAAATCATTTTAAGAAGATTAAACAATAGGGTTAGTATATTTTGTGGTCGAAGAGATAAACAAGAGAATAAAATTTTATTAACAATGTTATTCAAATTTGTGGTGGGTGGAAAATTCCTCTTTAATCCACAAGAATGTGTTTTACCATTCAATTTCCCGCCATATCACTTATAGTGGAAAATTGCGGCTATGGCCGCAATAGTTTTCAGTACGAAGATTTTTTCCCAGAGATAACTTAAAATATCAAATTAATGCTGGTTAAGCTAAAAACAGAGGACCGTAATATGATTGCTTCCATAAAAAGTGGACCAATATATATCAATTTTGGTATGTAGTTTTTCTAACCAATGTGAATTAAATTACAGCTAATTCGATTTAAAAAAAGTGCCAACATTCCCCAAAATACCACATAATGGGGGTACGGTTATATGGGGGCTATCTTAAAAAATGGTCCAATATATTTAATTTTTGGTAGGAAGAATTGAAACACAATGTGAATTCAAAGTACAGCCAATTCGGTTTAAAATCGTGCCCAAACATCCAAAATACCAAATATTGGTGGTACCGTTATATGTGGAGACTCTTTTAAAACCGGGAATCAATATTTACAGCCATTTCGGTTGAAAAACGTGCCAGAAAACAAATATTTGGGTGTACTGTTATATGGGGGCTATATCAAAACCGCTATATCCCATTTGCAATACCAAACATCCTAGGAGTAATGGCAATGTTAGTGCAAAATTTCAAAGCTATACAGGATATAGGATTTTCAGAATTTCTTTTTTAGAAAATATGAATATATTCTGAAAGTTCTCCCCTAGGGCCTTGATTTGAGCTAAGTTTACATACCACATCAATTTTAATTTTTTACAATATGGCGGTAATTTTCAAATTTACCCACTATTTAGAATTGTTTTTCGAATATTATGGATATATATTCGAAAGAAAGTACACCCCAGGGATTGAATTAGAGTTAGGTCTTAATAGTGCGTCTATTTTAGTTATTGTGAAATATAAAAGTTTGTATAACATCCTCACTGTCATCCGAGTCGAAAATTGTATGTGTTTGTATCAAAAAATCGTTTAAAGTCCATTTCATTTAAATTTTCATTTTCAAAATTAACCCTTTGGGGTTTGTACCTTTGCTAGGACACTTTAATATTTATCTTCATGCACATTTTACAGACATTTTTATACACTTCATTATGTGGCGGACTTGATTAGTCCTTGTATAGGCTCCATTGTTCAATGTTATTCCTGCTAAGAAGATGATTGTTCTGCTGCCACTTGTCCTAGATAATTTGGCAAACAATATTTTTGTATAAATATACAAAAACCACTTAGAAAAATGTCATCCTCCAAAATCTTGTTGCGCAGTGTAACCCAAATATTTTCCTACTGGTTGACCACACAAGCTTTAAATTACAAAAAATTAATGTATGAAAAAACATTATCCAATCGATAAAAAATAAGTTCACGATATACCATTTTTATGACTCGATTGCATGCGCACAAATTATTGCCTTACAAAAGAAATTTATATTTTATAGATCAAATTTAAAGTCATTGGACTAATCTATTCTCTCAAGAAACGAAGAAAATGATTTTACTTTCCATTCACACGAATGTGTTACATTTCCCTAGAAAAAAGAAGAAAAAAACGAACACCAATAGCACCGGTAGCAGAAATGATACAAAAAAACAATTAGAGTCATTTGATTACATCGAACTGGTAGTCAATCACATAAAGACGTCCGTCCACTCGTATGCCTGTTTACTTCATTCACATGCCAGCAGTATTCAATTTCATGTGGGGGTTAAATAAGAATCATTTAACTTGTAGCAGCAGCAGTTTATAGATTATGTTGGCTGGCCAACCGTTTGATGGAATCAAATCAAATCGACGAATTAAATAGAAACGCCGAGGAACGTCCAAGCTACGAGGTGGTGGCATAAAACACCCAGCGTTGGAATGCCTAACACTTTTATGGTTTTTCATTATAATCCATATCGGTTGATCTTTGCCGAGTAGCGAAGAGCATCAGAAGAGAGTGAGAAAATCGGGTACGCGTGTGTGTGTTTTTGGATGGGATTTTTGTTGAAATATTTGTTTTTGGCATGTTTTCAGGTGATTTTTATTAGCGCCTTTTTTGTTGTTTCTGCCTTTAATTAATCCGTATAATGGAGGAAAAAGCTCATCCGAAATTAATAACTCGAAATAAAAATTTAATTTGAAACAATTCACAAAGAATTTGAAATAAACAATAGAAACAAAGCAAAAAAAAAAAAAAAAAAAAACAGCAACACCATCATAGCCACAAACGGAAATGGTTTAATTATCCAATTGACGCTTGGCGATTAGCTAAATAGATTTCATTCATATCCAACCATTTAAATCCAACAACAACAACAAAAGTAAATTAAATTAGCAAGTGTTGTAAAGTTTTGGTGATTGGGATCAGCGTTAAACTTTTGTGTTATGTGTCTAGTATAGAGATTATTTGGAAATTTAAATCTAAGCCAAAGAGAGGTATAGCAAATGTATGAAAACACATTTGCTATACCTCCTTTTGGCTTAGATTAAAATTATATTATATATATATATACCTGACTTATGTAATTACCGATGATACTGAACGAAATATGTGATCGATATTTGTTGTATGATATTTGATTCAGAGAGTATTAAAAAATAAGAAAAGGAATGTAGTCATTGAAGTAATTGTATCCAAATTGTATCATCCAAAAATGTGGTTGAAAGATCTTTTTTAAAAAATTTTCGACGGTACCTTTGAATGACCTTCAAAATACTTTCTTATGGAATTCCATATCGATGGATTTGAATGCCTGTCAAACATTCATATATTCTGTAAAATTATTTCGATAATATTTATTAAAATTCCACGATGTCCTTTTAAAAAGTATCTTTAAAATAAGTAAAATAAGAAATCGATAAGACCACTTTCGATGTTGAGGTGGGTTTGGTAAAAATATTACGATATACTTACGGACATCCAAACGGATACTCCTTTAGCATCATATCAAATTTCAAATAAAAAAAAAAAAATTCTGAAATTAGTAAAAAAATGGGTTTCTGGTCCATAGTGCTCAAATGCCTTTTCGGTATGTTTAAAGTCCTCGGTCCAATCTGACTGTCTGTAATTTTATATTTCGTTTTCTTTTGGCAGCAATTTACCATGGAATAACCCCCATATCATGTTCATCTAATGGTGAAGCTCTGGTGACCGCTACAACCTTAATTTTGATCGCAATGAAAATATTCGGGTCTATCAACATATGTATATTTTATGATACAATATATTTTGGAACAAATATATGATCTCGTAATATTTATTTTCGTGTACATCAAAGTTCTTATTTGTTAATTGGTTATTTTTTGACATTTCACTCGGCCGAAATAAGATCTCAAAAATTCTAACTAATTACCTTTTATTAAAGACTAACACATCACACAAAGTCATATCATCAAATCTAAATCAAGATAACACACGTACGTACATGACCAGCCGGTCAAGAGCACAAAGGTGAATATCCACACCTTTAGCAGAAAAAAGGGCTAAGTCATGGCTTAAGTTAATACATTAAACCAAAAAGAGCAGAACAGAAACGAAACGAAAAAAAAAACACAACTATGAATATCTCAATTAGTAATGGCCTCTCAGAACGCTGTAGGAACATTAAGTGAAACCTTTATGTTTGTTGTTTTTGTTCTGTTAACATGGCCAAATTGACATAATAGATTTTTTTGTTTTGGGATAACAAATATAAGTACTCACGCACAAAAGTGCGAAAAAACAAACACACACACAATGAGAGTATTTTAGAACCAACAAGATCCTCATTAGCCATAAAGTAAAACGTACACCAAAGGAAGTCCAACAAAAAAGTCAATTCGAACTCGCCTACCACTCTCATTGTGAAAAGTGTGGCACAAGTTTTGTCATTGTTCTGCTAAAAAAATACCAAACACTCGCTCTTATGTCCTTAGCGGGTGTTTTTCATCCATTGCCTATGGTTATGATTAGTTATGCTCATCATGATGGTGATGATGACATTATTTCCATTTTGTTGGTTGGTTGGTCTTACCAAAAAGTCTATGAAATGTGACATAAGTTTCTGTCAAAGATCTATTGTTCCTCCAACCATTCATCGTCCTAGTTCATGTCTAGGTGTATTGTTTGCCTAGGGCATTGCGTGCTGCTATTGTCCTGCGCTGTAGTGTGAAGAATTTGTTAAGCAGATGACATTTAAATTATGACCATTAGTTATGGCCGACTCATCCACACCGGCAGCAGAGGTAGGGAGTAATGCCGACTGGTAATGTGTCATTATCTGAGAATAATAGGTAATTAAACTACAACAGAAGTCCAA